TTAAAAACATTCTTGACAGCACGTGTTCAATCAAGGTACGGGGTTCCTATAGGCTTCCTTGGTATACAAAAGGTCTCCAGAAATATAAAAATCTAAGAAATAAGTTCTATAAACGGTTCATTAGATGGGTAATCCATTAGATCGTGATAGATATAGACAGCATAAGCGGGAATTTGAGTTTCTTAATAAATTTCTTTATAATCAATACATTTCCGACATTGAAAATAGCTTAAAGTCAAATCCAAATGTGTTCTGGCGTTTTATTAATTCAAAGAAATCTTACTCTTCCAAACCGTCAACTGTGTCATATAACAATACTACAGCTAATTCTGGGACAACTATTGCAAACTTATTTGCTTCCTTTTTTTCGGCCAATTTTGAGCCTGCTTGTGACTGGAATGACCAGCAAATTCTAAATAATATTCCGGAAATGTGTAATATTGGTTCCCTTGAAATTAATGATGATGACATTTCTGAAGCTATTTCACAATTTGAGGACTCCATTAAGCCTGACATTGATGGAGTTTCATTTTTTCTTAAAAAATTTTATCACAGTCTTCTTCTACCCCTTAAGATGATCTTCTCGTCTTCGCTACTTCAGGGCAAATTTATTTCTAGATGGAAAATTGCCAAAATTTTGCCGGTTCATAAAGGCGGAAGCATGTCTGAGGTTTCTAATTACAGGCCGATTGCTAAAATAAGCAATATTGCCAAGCTATTCGAGAGAATTGTAGTTAAAAAATTATCCTTCCTGATACGTACTTATATTGACCCTAATCAGCACGGGTTCATGCCTGGTCATTCTACTACCTCGAATTTAGCTATTTTCGCTAAACATTGCATACAAGCCTTTGAGTTACATTCCCAAGTGGACACAGTTTATACTGATTTCGCCAAGGCTTTTGATAAGGTTTCTCACTCTGCCTTGCAAGCAAAACTTTCTAAGCTTGGTACTCACGGCTCTTTTCTAAATTGGATCTCTTCTTATTTGGCAAACCGATCCTACCATGTTGAGGTCAGCGGGTTTGTTTCTAACCTCTTTGAAGCAACCTCTGGTCTTCCTCAAGGCAGTTCTCTGGTTCCTTTGCTTTTCATTATTTTCATTAATGATATTTGTTTCTGCATTAAATCTGCCAAGTATCTTCTTTATGCGGATGACCTTAAAATATACATGCGAGTGAATTCCTTAAATGACAGCTATTTGCTACAATCGGACTTGAACAAAATCAGTATATGGTGTATTCAGAACTATTTACCTCTCAACCTAAATAAATGTTATGTTGTTCGCTATAGTAAATGTATCTTAAATATTCTTTCTACATATGTTATCAATAACCATTCACTCTCTGCACTTACTGAGATTATGGATCTTGGGGTCCTTTTCGACAGTAAATTTTTGTTTATTAACCATATGAACCATGTTCTGCCGAAGGCATATGCAATGTTCGGATTTGTCAAAAGAAACACCATACTTTTTAAGGACCCGTACTCACGACTGATAGTGTTCTCAGCTTTTGTGCGTTCAAGAGTGGAATATGCTTCCTTTATTTGGAACCCGTCAAGTGTTGTCCATATCAATAGAATTGAGAGGCTGCAGAAAAAGTACCTAAAATTTGCACTTCAGCCGTTAAACTTTTCGGAACCTTTGCCAGCTTACTCTAGCCAATGTTGCCTTCTGCATACCTGCAGTCTAGAAGATCGCCGTTCGATAGCGAGCTTGCTCTTTATTAATGATGTTATAATTGGTAATATAGATAGTCCTTTAATATTAAGCTCAATTAAATTCAATATCCCTGCCAGGAGTCTCCGTACCTTCATCCCATTTTTTGAAAGTTCTGCGAGGACTAACTATGCGCGTAACGAGCCAATTTTAAGAACTTTAAGACTTTTTAACTCTTTGCCACTAAGAATTCGATTGGTTTGGGGATCCAAAAAGGATGTGCTTAGGCAATTACTTAGGGAAAACTTTTTAATTAATACTTAATTAATACTTAGTTTTAAGTTAAGTTAGGTGATAGCCAGATAAGGATATATCCATTGGCGAATAAATAAATGAATAAATTTCATCCAGCTTTTTGTTTGCTGAATCGGTTGTTCGTTCGTCGGAATTTTTGGGTGGCATCGATGTTGATTGTACATGATATCTTATATTTCCAAATCGACTGAAGGATGAGCGTAACTCGCTTGAAATCGTGCCTATCGTTTTCATGCTGATGTTGGAATTGCAAGCAGTGCATCCAGATGAAAGAGATAGTAACCCAGTTCTTTCTATGTGTATCGTTGACTGCTGACCGTTACAGACAGATTGAAGATCCAGTGGGTAACGGGTTGCAAAGATGCAGTTGTTTAGTTGTGAAGTTTTGACATAAACCAATCCTGAAATTGTTTTAATTATATCGCAATGCGTTGACGATTTGTTGTTGGATGATTTGAATTCACACTAGTCCTCTTCGTTGAATACGGATGAGTGCAACAGATGTGAACATTGCTGAGAACAGTTTGGCATCGTTGGTATTGTTGCTCAGTGAATCCCATTAATTGATCTCTGTGGGCGTTGACCACAATAATGTTAAACCTTAGTTTGAATAAGTTCCATGTTCCTGACATCCATGTAGTGATTTGAATAACACTGTAGACTTTTTGAGAAGTTGTGGACACCAATGGAAATGTCACGCAGACTATGACATGAGTGTATGTTGTGGTTCCATTTGCTTGCATGATTTTGTACAGTTCGATTGCATCTTCCGTTGAGACCGGTAGCATTTGGTCTGGTACTAAGTGGTCTCTGACTTTATCGTGTTGTTCTTTTTGTTGCTTCGGAGAGACCAGAGTATGACGAATAGTCCGATGACGAATATTAGTCAATAAGTTTTTTAACTCCGTTTGTATTCGTTTTAGGCTAGTGGTTAGCAACATCAGAGGAGCTGTTATTACTATGTATGGTTGCGTAAGTTGTTCGCCCTGATATTTTCCGCCCTCCTGCTTGCTTAAGGCGATATGGGGCTCCAACACCGTTAAACGATTATCAGTTGCCACCTTGTTCCCTTTGAAGATGTTGATATTTAAGTCCATCATTGAAGTTTGGTTTTTTAGCAGCCCCATCAGGAATCCTTCGTTTGCTTCTACTTTGCTTATGGTATTTGTCATTTCCTTATCATAATTTGAGTCAAGTACTCCAAATAACTCGATTGCTATGTACCCAATACCATTGAAGGGAGACCGGCGAAGTCGGGAGTGGAGCATTAGTGCTTGTAAGTCTGCCTATACATTTATATGTGTTTTAGAATTGACCCGCATACTGATTTGTTTTGCATTGTTGGGCACATTTGAGCTAGTTGGCTGATTCCGAAATTTAAATGCTTTCTTAGCAAGAAATCTTTTGTTTGTTTTTTTTTTTATGAAAGTACTGTATACACAGACTAATATGTGCATAGCTATTTTTGTTGTTTTTTCGCCACGTTTCTGAAAACGAGCAATTCTTTTTTTTTGTTAACTGACCAAAAATTGTTTTTTCTCCTTTCAATCCTTGTATCGTTGTTTTGAAAATGGGCGCGCGCATTCGGTGCTGCATAGTTAATCATTATATGTGCACATCAGTCCGAGCTGAATGTTTCTGCTGATAATAGCGTTTTCGAAAGCTGAGTTGCAAAAATTAGCTTAAGATATTTATTGCAAGTATGTAACTGTTCAAAATAGTGCATTTGATTTGAATATTTTGCTATCAGCTATCGTGTAACAAGAGACAGACAAAAAAGAATGCATGATAGCGGTGCGAATATCACCGATATCACAAAAACAGTAAACAGGTACCGGACCATGAAAATCCGTTACTGAAACATACCTCCATGGTACCTTAACCCAAGCTTCTGCAGCGTCACAAGAAAGCTAGCCATGAGTTTGCAACTAACGTAATAACGTAATTTTTATTGATGAAAAGAAGTTTAGTCTAGATGGTTCTGATAGTTACGGGCTGCGTTGTCCTACAGGGAAAATTTTCCGTTGTGCTACATCTCTACCTGAATGAATGGTCATATGTATGTGGGTCTTCCGGTCAGTAAGCTTATAGAGTTTGGTGATTACTCTATATGAATGGGGACGACTGGACGTTTCAGCAGGACAATGCATTAATACACGCAGCTTAGGTCACCAATCCTTCTTTCCAAACCGAAACTAAACCTTTCTTGGACTGGCCACGCCATTAGAAATTGAGTATTTGTGGGGTATCCTCTCTAACAAGTGTAAAGGAACGGGATACAGTTTGAGACAACCTTAAAACGCAATAGACCAAGAATGGCCCAATATTAATTCAACTCACCTTAAATCTTTGGGGGATTCCATGCCATCCCAACTTAATTTCGTAATTCTGAACAACGGTAACAATATTGACTATTAATATCCTGCTTTAAGTTTCTTATTACATATATTCGAAATTTGTAATCACTTGATGTTGTAATTTCGTAAGCTTAATTTTCAAATAAAACTATACACCCAAGATTTCGATAATAGCTTTTGCACTTTTTTTATAAGGAAAAAACAATATGCACCAATAATTTGTTGTATCAGGTACTTTAACAAATGTTTTGTAATTTTTTGACCATAATAAGGTAAGTTTTCAACTTTGCTTTAAGATTTTCTTAAAGAAAATTATTGAAAACAGGAAAGAAAGCAAACTTCGGAAAGTCGAAGTTTATATACCCCTGTATAAATATTTTTTAAAATGCTGTAATATAAAACGAGATATAGCAAATTTGCGTAATGTTATCGATATACACTCGTTTCGTAAATAATAGAAACGAAGAAACAATAGACATATGCACTAAAAACTAACATTTTTAACATAAAGCAATACAATTTTTTTTTTTTTTTGCAGCTACTCTATATTTAAACTCACCAATTGACTGCTTGAAGGCAAAAATTATTTGCATTTTTCTTGTTTACAATGAACTAAACTCAAAAAAGTTTCAAAACATTGTTAAAATAAATTTAAATTTGTAACTTACTTCGAAAGCGTATCGCAGACCGTCCCACGGCTTAATGGGCATTTCTCCAGCCATTCGAGAACCCAATAGATCCCAATTGGTGTAGTTATGAATATATTCAACTAAACCGCTAGGTGTTACTTCGTGCAGGCCTTCAATGTTAAAATCAGCAGGAAATCCACTAAGGAAGGTAATATTGTGTCCTCTGAAATCATGGAATAGTATTTATAAGTCAAAGATCTACATAGCTAGCTTAGATAAAGAAAATTAAATCTAATATTTTCAGATCATTCAGCTTACAATTATAGCTAACAAAGATCTTGTATTACGTTTTTATACCGAGAAAATTTGAGAACGAAAAGACCAAGAGCAAATCTGCTCTATTTCAGGTTTTTTATTTTTCACTTTATCAAGAAGAAACGTTCTTGAAATCGGTGAAAAAATGTTTTTTTCTTTGCTCTCGATTTCGCTAATCGAAAAGACTCGAGGTGAAATTTGTCTATAACTTAAAAAATTGGAAAAGATAAAAATTGGGAGAGAAGTTCTTTCTCAAATTGTTTGGAAAGTTACCGAAGTATACTTGGGGCCTAGTATTTTCCCATTTAAGATTCTCCCGCGGCGATGTAGGCCCAGCGATAATTGCACAGTTAGTAATTAATATTTCATTAAATGAAAATTAAATATATAATTATTATTATTTACATATATGTATGTTGAAATAATACTTTATATAATAATTTTCATTTTATTTAAGTGCAAGTGACGCTGTTGCACTCCATGTATGTATTTGTTTTTTTGGTTCCTTTGATTCTTAATCTTTTTCGACTCGTAAATGCTCGCACTACGTCACAGTCGTCAAAGAGTTAGAATTTAATTATATATTTTTTTTTAAGAAGAACCACGCCTCAAATTTTTTTAACCATTTTTTTTTCAGACAATTTAGTTTTGAAATTCGAATACATATATACATTGTTACACTGTTTAATCATTTTTTTTTCTAAGGACCGATGTTAACTTCGAGTGCCTTGAATTCATCAACACTCTCAATTTCAAAACAAATTTACCGAAATTAAAAAGAAATTTTCTCAGATCAAGACTGCTTTTTTAAGACTGAATATTCAGGATTTGAGAATAAGTCTTCTTGGTAAATCATTTTTGATTTTGAAAACGCTTTAATCTTTCAGCCGAGAAGACTTTTTCTGAAATCATACATACAGGGTTGCCCATATTCGACGGACCCATGTTTTTTTTTAAAAAATCAAAGAAAAAAATAAAAATTTGGCGGTTGGCAATCTTAATCATTTAATTTGTTCCAAGTAGATTTGTTTACATCAATTTTTGAATATGATATCTTTCAAATGGCCGCCTCTGGCGTTGATGGCGTGTTGTGCCCTTTTTGCAGCATTTTCCATCGTTTTCGCCAACATTTCGGCCGGAATAGCGGCTATTTCTTCACGAATGTTGTCCTTGAGCTCTTCTAGGGCCCTTGGCTTGTTAACGTAAACCTTAGACTTCAAAAATCCCCACAAGAAGAAGTCAGGCGGCGTCAAATCGGACGAACGCGGTGGCTTTTTTTTGCTTATTTACGGTCCCATTCAATGTGAAATGGGCCTCATCGGACATGATAATTTTGTTCCAAAATTGATCGTCATCTTCGGCCATTTCGATGACTCTCGCGTAGCGTGTATTGTTCCATGGTAAAAATCTGCTTGGACTGACGCTTCAAACGCGGTATGTCCATAAGCGATCTGTCATCTCTGTCAAAAGTTATGGCGTCGTCAGATGGGTCCGTCAAATATGGGCAACCATGTACTTGAAAAAATCAGTCTTCTTGATTTCGGTAAATCCGCACTATTAAGCAGAGAAATACTGAAACTGAGATTGAGAACGGTTCTTTTTCTCGGTGTACGCATGCCTTATTTAAAAATAAAAATCTTTTGATTCAGGAAGTGAATAACACAAAAGTTTTCAATCTAACAATCTATTTTGCAAGGAAATGAATGGGAAAATTCAAGCCATAAGAAAGAAATATAGTATATTCTCTATAAGCATCATCAGCCGAGTCGATCTGCATTATCGCTCGCTCCGAATAATTCTGTCCGCCTTGGCCTCGCTGAAGGTCCAACCCGTTAAATTTTTGCCCTTGGAAGCTCGGTGTCTCAGTGATTTAAAAATTTCTTGTAAAGGACTTCTGAAGTTGACTGAGATCTGTACCCCGGCCAGAGAGCATCCTTTCTGTGTATGTTCTCCATCCTTTTTGATGAGAATTCGAAGATTTTAATGCTAAGGAAATTTATCTTCATTATCAAATTTGCATGGCAGTGAAGGGGACCAACCCGCGAAGTTTTTGCCCTTGGAAGCTCGGTGACTTAGTGATTTAAAAATTTCTTGTAAAGGACTTTTGGACTTGACTGAGAGCATGCTTTCTATGTATGATCTCCATCCATTTAGATAAGAAGAATTTAATGCTAAGGAAATTTATCTTCATTATTTAATTTGAAGCCATTAAGGATATATAGTTTATTCTCTATCAAAATTTTCAGTTGAGTCGACCTAGTCTTGCCCGTTCGATTTTTCGCAAGCTAAAATCTAAGTTGAAACTATCCCAAATATATTCATTTAATTATTCCTTTTTATACCCTTGCAGAGCATCTTATAATTTCAGTCAGAAATTTGCAACGCAGTGAAGGAGACTTTTCCGACCCTTAAAAGTATAAATATTCTTGATCAGCATCACAAGGAGAATCGATCTAGCAATGTCTGACTGCCCGTCCGTTTCTACGCAAGTAAATAGTATAAGTCGAAACGAGCCGGAACGGACGACTATATCATATAGCTCGCATTGAAAATATGGGAACATTACAATAATTAAATGAAAAAAAATTGAATCTTCTCTATTTTTTACTTTTTTCTTTATTTCTTTTGGTTTTAGTAATATTTAGTTTAATTATTTCATTATTATTAATGATTTTATATATTGTCATAGGAACGACCATAGCGTCAATTTTTTTAAACATATAGGCAAATAAATCATTATTTAAATGTTTTCAAGAATATTTTATTTTTGAAATAGCTGCAAGGATATATAAACTTCAGCTTGCCAAAGTTTCCCTCCGTTCTTATTTTTAACTGTCTTAAGATTTTAATTAGGATTTTTAAGGTATCAGGTATTTGCAGAAGCAAATACAAACATCATCAGAGCTCGTGAGTCGTGAATAGTCTAAGACAATTTTCTGACGTTTGCGCTTTTTAAAAGCGATTATTCGATACCTTCCGCTTTTTTATTAATTTAAAATGCCTTCTACATCACACTCAACCGTCGTAGATGTGGTGTGTGGTGCTCGCACCCACTAAAAACCCTCATCAGGCCGTTTATTCACATACAAAGCTCTACGGCTCGCCTCTACTCGATTGTCAATCTATACCAAATTGGTTGTCTATTGGCATCCAAATATGGCTGCATTGACACATTTAGCATCTACATACGCACAGCTGGCTTCTGTGCTTTGCCCATCTCATGCAAAAACGAGCTGAAGTAGCCATCAGCCTTAAGCGCTTGGGTCAAGTAGTAGTCTACGTCCCGGTGTCGTCTCTCCCTTTTGCAATCTAAAAGAGCTTGACTATACGCTCCGCCCGCTTGTCTGAAGCCGTAAAGTTTGTTTCGTTCTCTGGCCAACTGGTCAACTCCTCCTAAAACAAGTGCTGCACACGATACTGTTCGATCAGCGCTTATTATTCGGATGGCAGAAGTTTTTTGAACAACAAAAAGAGGCTTCAGTCTGCATTTGGTTTAAAGCATATCAGCCCAGACTTCACATCCATATAGAAGAACGGCGCTATTAACATTCATCATCATTCGGTCAAGATATTGTGCGGTCCTGGTGCTTTCATATTGCCTGAGTAAGTTTATCGTTGTTAAATAGTTCGAAGGGTTCCTGTAGCAACCCGTATGCTGGTCTTATCGGTCGAGCGGGAAACAGAGTTTTGACAATGTTTTCCAAGACGTACATACATACATACACTTAAACGTTCAACAATGGACGACATTACATGTAGTGACGATGCGCACCAAGAGCGTGTGCATAGGAGACTACTATATGTATATAGCCGTAGAGTTGAAAATCTGCTGTGATGGTCCGATCGTAACCAGTAATACACCCATTGTAAAGTATTGCTAAATGAATAAGGACTTTAAGACTTTAGCAAAACACACGCATTTGCTTAAACAAAACAGAATAACGTGATTTTTTACGCTTTTCTCTACCTGTGTGTAGTATTTTTCTAAAAATCGCGGGCAAAACAAATGGAAAACCGTTACCTACAAACAAGCATTTTCCAAAGCAAAGCAGAAAATCGTGGGTTTTAGGGCTTATCTCTTTTATCCGCCAAAAAATAAAAACAAAGATAAAAACTGAAAGTAGAATATTTATGTTTTGTTTATGTGTGTTTACATTTTACATATATTTTTGAATTACGGTTATAATTTCATTAAAATCGGAAAACTACTTCATATAGCTCCAATGGGAACAATCGAAAAAATAAATAAAAAACAAGAAAGAAAGCAAACTTCGGCAAGCCGAAGTTCATATACCCTTGCAGCTATTGCAAGAATTTAACATTTTTGAAAACATTAAAATTATGATTTACTGCGTATATTTTTAAAAACATTGAAGCTATGATGATTAGCAGCTCAATTATTTGATAGTTATTTTATATATTTTTATTATTTCTATGGGAGCTATATGATATAGACGTCCGATTTTGATAAAATCTAAACCATAATTCTGAAAAATTTAACCATTGCTATATGTCGAAGAACTGAACAAAAAATTAAAAAACAGAAAAGTTATCATTTTTTTCATTTATTTTTCCGATTGTTCCTATGGGAGCTATATGCTATAGTCGTCCGATTTTTATATAATTTAAACCTTAATCGAAAATATTTAACCATTACTAAGTGTCGAAGGACTAAACAAAAAATTAAAAAACAGCAAAGTTATAATTTTTTTCATTTATTTTTCCGATTGTTCCTATGGGAGGTATATGCTATAGTCGTCCAATTTTGATGAAATTTAAGCCGTAAATCGGAAATATTTAACCATTACTAAACGTCGAAGAACTAAACAAAAAATTAAAAAACAGCAAAGTTATAATTTTTTTAAATTTATTTTTCCGATTGTTCCTATGGGAGCTATATGCTATAGT